GGGGGGGGGGGGGGGAGGAGGAGGGAGGAGATAAAGAAAGGCAATCGAGTCCTTCTCTCGTTAGGAAAATTTCAGTTTTGATGAGCAGCCGTAATTGTGGAGTACGATATTACTTGTGTGTATATATGTGTATATGTGTGTGAGTGAATAGACGATAATAATAATAATAATAATAATAATAATAATAATAGCTATGATATAATGATAGATATAATAATAGTTAATAATTATTAATAAAAAATAATATATTTATATTAATATAATAATAAAACTAAATTTATAACATTCGCGGTTCTTTCTTCCTAGTATATAAATTAAATGAAAACATCTCTCGTCCTGAAAGCATATTGTGCAGAAAGGTGTGGTGTTTATATACAAAATGTATTCGATTTTTTCGAAAACCACGTCATTGAGGCACCTCGTGTTTTGTTATCTCTAATTCACGTATATGGAGGAACGTCGCGAGGTTCCGCGCTTTCCCGTCGAGACGCGCGCCGCGTGAGGGTCAATACCTCCGTGACTTTTCGACTTTCTGTCCTGGACGAAAGGCCGAATATCTCGTCGAGAAATCGCTCGGCCCGTGCGCGTACGTTCCAATTCCCACCTCTCGCGTTACTCTCTCTCCCTCTTTCTCTCTCTCTCTCTCGTCCCCTCTCCTCTCCCCTTTCTCACTCTCATACACTCGAGAATCATTCACTCGCTCACTCATTCATTCGTTCGTTCTTTCGCTCGCTCGCTTAATCGTTCACACTCGGTACACACGCATGCACACATACGGATAAAAGAGCACTCACGCGCATTTACACATACATATATCCGCGCATATAATAGAATATTTTTAATAATAGTTATTAGGATCTCTCTATTGTGTGTGTTTGTAGAAGTTACATATCACATTTTCGTTAAATGGTTAAGAACAATTACCATAAAAATGCATAGCGTGAAGTGACTCACTTCCCTCTGTTGATATTGAGCCAAAGTAAGTTTCTCGTTTTCTCTTCCTCGTTCGCCCTCCTCGTCACGACCCGTGTGCGATAAATATACATATACATATTTATATAGAATCGTTAAATAAATTGTTAAATAAATATACACGTATGTATGTATAAAAAAGAAGATAGAAGAGAACCCTCAGTCTGCACACACGCGTAATCGCGCGTTCCAACGTGATGATATGCATATATGTTCGTAATAATTTTGGGATATATGTACTTCCTTTCCCCCCCCCCCTCCCTGGTGTAATAAATAAATTATATAATATAGCACGCGATACACGATGCTGATGCTGATTCGTACAGTTGATATCGTAGGTATTATATGGTACGATAGTGAAATGCGACTCAAGTTAATCGACCTAGTTAATCGACTAGTCGAGCGCGACCGCACCAACAACACGTTTGTCTCGACGTTCTCTCTCTCTCTCTCTCTCTCTCTCTCTCTCTCTCTCTCTCTCTCTCTCTCACATCTGAAACATTAAAATTCTTCAATTTCAATGCATCAAAGATATCACGCATTGTCGGGAGATTGATCGATGATGTGGGCGGAGATGTGCGCGTTAGAACGCGCGTTTTTCGCGCGTGCACGGAAACCGAGGGGAAGTCGATGAGCCTCGCGACGAGAAGAGATCGCATTCTTTTTTTTCCACTTGAGGAGAAGAGAAACGCTCTTTTGGCAATCGACGCGAGTCTTCCGGACGATTTGATCGTCGAAATGTATGTGTCCCTTTCTCTTCCTCAGTATTCGCTCTAATGTACACAATATATCTGTACTCTTATTATTAGTATTACGTTATTCGTCATTACTTCATCCAGCCAGTTATCGTCGTTCGTCATTGCCGTCATCGTCATCGTCGTCGTGGTCATCAGCACGTTTTTATGCTCATTGCTTATTATCTTATGAAACGCAACGTCAGGCACACGTGTGCGCTCACAGCCACACCACTTTCCCTCATTATCTTTCAACCGGCTCTATCTTGTCCCAGCTATCTCTCTTTCTCTTTCTCTCACACCGTCATTCTCTCCCGCCATTCGCACCACATAACCTAATCATTTTAATATGGAAGACGATCAAAGTTTATAAGAAGACATACTCGTTTATTCGCGCGTTCGGGCAACCGGCCAACGCGAACGGAAACAGCACGCTCCATTTCCGGATCTTCTTAAAGAGAAAATCTCAGTATCTGCATCTAGTCGCTCTTTGCAAGTATAATAATAATAATAATAATAATAATAATAATAATATAATAATAATTATAATATATAATAATATAATATAATAATATAATAATATAGTAAAAAGAAGAACTTAAAACTCCTCTCAGTCTATTCATGAAAATTGTCAGAAACAAAACCTTTTGCTGCAGCGAGTACAGAGAGTGTCAAATTTGAAACGCGCGTTTCAACGCGACACCCTGCACCCCATATCGCCGAACGTTTTGGCATCACACCGATGTAAAAGCAAGGTGGAACTACTGAAAGAACGCGTCGCGAATCCACGATCCGCGCCGAGCAATCGGCCGCGCGTTTATCCGCGATGCGTTGAACGTTCACCAAATGCCGACAAATAAGAGCGACAAGAGCCGTAGGTCCGTAGAACCGTAAAGTGCGTCTCGACTCGTGAACATTACAACAACTCTGCTTTTGCCGCGACCGACGCCATTCGCGTAGTGCGTTAATCGGTTTCACCCGACTACCATTTTCTCTCACGCACTCTTTCCTCTCCCACCCACTCTGCTTCTTATGCCCCCCCCATCCCGGTCCTCCTCTATATCATTCTCTCATACTCACTCGCTCACACATACACGCACTCACACAGGCACACACACACACACACACACACACACACACACAGTCGCTCGTTCACACTTACTCGCTCACTCTCTCTCGTTCGCTCGCTCGTTCACTCGCTCGCCGACGAGAGTCCTCGCTCCCGCCTCTCCTTTCACTCTCGAGACAACTTTCCCCACCCTTACTCCCTCGAAGAAGAAACTCGAAGAAACGTAACCGTACGTTTAGCGTAACGTGTGTAACTATACGTTTTGGAATATTGCAACGTTTCACCTGCCCCGGATCGAGCGGTGCCGAGCCGTGCCGGCGCACGCGGCCCCCGAGAGACTCGACAGGGTGAGAGGTGTGCCGGAGGACAGGGGAACCGCGTGGACCGGAGGGCGTCGGGAGGGCGAGCCGAGTGAGATCAATGAACAACTTACTCGGAGAAGTCACGTTTCGGAATAAACTTGCGCTCGGTGCCCTCCGTCGCCCCTCCTCGCAGCTCCCGTTTCCTCTCTCGTCATCTCTCGCCGAGATCGCTACGTCCTCCTCGGAGCCTGACGAACGAGCCCTAATGAACGGCGGCCCGGCAACTCTCACCGAGTTGATTTCGCTTTTTCCGCTGGATTCGCGATCTTAACGATAATAGAATACGAAAGAAGAGCAAGAGTAAAGGATAAGATGACGAGTGTACCGACAGTGTAACGTAATTAATACATGAGATGTGTGACTATAACGTAGTAATATATACATATATATATATATATATATATATATATATATATATATGAAAAAAAGGAGAAGATAAAAACGTAAGGAGAGAAAAAGGCAATCTCGTTCAGAAACGAGAGTTAAATATATGTGCTCGGGTGTGTGTGCCTGTTTGACCTAGAAGTGTGGCGCTTTTTAAATAACAAGCCGATGACTGGAAGCAGGGAGTCGCGCAGTAAATTTGCGCGTGTGTACGTGTGTTTGTTTGTATGTGTGTGTGTATGTGTAAAAATGAAAGTATAAACCTCAGTAGTTCCGTCGACAGAAGAATCCGCTGCGCGGGGATTCGCTGTCGTCGCTCGCAAAACGCATACATCTCGAAAACGGACTCCTACAAAGTGATCCTGTGCTGCCTATTTCCTCGCGGATCACGGCACTCTCGATCGAGACTCGCCAACTTGCGAGAGTCAGTCTCCTCTTCCTTCTCCTTCTTAGATCTTGAGGTTCTCGAAGTCCACAAGGGTGCCACTGATCCTGTTGAAGACTGGCAGCCTGGACTCCGTGTTGGGCGACAGTGGAGAGGGCGTCCTAGGTGCTAGTTCGTCAGAACCGAGTGGGCTGCAGACGCTGTTGCGCGGACTCGGGCTCTGTCTGGTCGGGATCAGACCGAAGTCTTGGCCGAAGCTGAATGGCGTCGTCGGCAGGTTCGTACAGGACTGCTGGCTACACTCGTCGCTAAAGAAGCTAGCCATAGAGTTGGTCGGGGACTGGCTCAGACTGGAGGATGGCGAGGCCGAGTCGCCAGTGCTGCCGAGCGAGAAAGTCGGGCTGAGGTTGAGCGGTTTTGGCTTGCTCGCACCGATCATTGAGGTGACCGCGTTACTGCTCGACTGATGATGATGGTGCGCGCCGTGGTGGTGCTGCTGATGATGATGGTGGTTCGTGGCAAGACTCAGCGATGATGTTCGCAGTAACGGCGGCGGATTGTAGCTGGCCACGTTGTTGACGGCGGCTGCGACAGCGCTGCTACTGCCGAGGCTCAGCGAGTTCGCTCTCATGAGATTGGGCGTAGCGGCTGCGGCAGCGGCGGCTGCAGCGGCAGCGGCAGCAGCGTTTTGATTCACGGCAGCGGCCGCTGCGGCTGCGGCAGCGGCGGCTACCTGCGGCGATGCGTTCATCTGTTCGAGCAAGCGCACGCTGACGTTGTTGGCGGTGGCGTTCGCGGCACTGCCGGCGGTGCTGTTGCCGACCGCGGCGGCAGCCGCAGCGGCCGCCGCTGCGCTCAGCAGTGGATTCAGGCTGTTCAGGCTCATTATGTTTGGTTGCGTCGAGGCCAGCTGAGCGCTCACCTTCTGATTGTGTATGCGGGCCTCCTCGAAGTTATGTATGAAATGGCATCGCGGCCCGTAGGGGCAGAAGCCGGACGAATGGTAGGTGCGGCAAGGCTCGGTCTTGTACTTGGGGTGGCGGGCGAGGTTGCGTAGCTCGCTATAGCCGTGGGCGAACTGGCACTTGTCGCCATACTTGCACGCGCCGCTCTCCTCGAACGGCCGGCAGAGCTCGGTCTTGTAACGCGACGTTGGTTCGCTTACGCTGCGATCCAGTTTCCGGTGGTGCTCGATCAGCGTGGACATCAGGGAGGTGTAGCTGCGCCTTAGAGGCGCGTGACCATTGCCGGTATTATTGCCACCGCCGCCGCCGCCCCCGGCAGAGTTCAATGTCGCTGTGGACGACGGTGGTTCCTTCGCCTTTGTGGAGGCTGCGTTCTGTAAACAGAAAGAGAGAGAAGCGCACGGTTAGAATCTTTTTCTTGTGATCTCGCGCGCACGAGAAAGATGGATATGGCTTTTACGCATGAGAGATATAAGGGGATCCGCGGAGCGTTTCGAGATATATTCGTTGGAGGACGCGCGCATCGCGCGAATGAATCGACACACTCTACGCGGTCAATGATAAAACCGCGACTCGCCAACGATTCCGCGACGTCATCGTAAAGTGCGAGATAGCACGTGTCGAGTGCGAGCCAACGACGGCGGATCTTCGCTACGATCGCGCGGGAAAACGATGGACATCGCGATACTCTCGCTTCCACGAACGGTTGTTACGGTTTAAGCTTTGGTGAGATTCGAAAGTTCTGTCAGGCGACTTGTAGTGGTTTGCCGGATCGACGATGACTTGGTTGATTTGAATGATGAAACAGAATTAGATAATTAACTGGAAAAATAATGGAAAGTGCTGAATTTGAGATTAAGCATGGCATGAACTTCATTAGTCCTCTCTAAAAAAAGGCATGAAAGAGATTTAATTGTTGCCGTTTTTCCGCGATGCTAATCGCAGTTCTCTCGCTTAACTCACTTCATGTGAGCTGTAGCTTGCTTCGTGTCGTTTGCGCTTGTCAAATTACCAGACAAATAGCTGTCATCGCGTTGTTTAGGTCACGAAAAAAAAATACAGAAGAGATATGTCTCTCTCTGTCTCTCCCGTCTCTCCCTGTTTTTTCCCGTCTCTCCCTATCTCTCCCTGTCTCTCCCTATAATTATTAATTAATTAAAGTATATTTTAATTTAATTAATTATTTTATTTTACATTTTTATTGTTTTTTTTGTTAGCTATATGGCGTGCGCATGTATTGTTCTAGTATTAATAAAAGAAACACGGTTAAAAATGCAATGAATTTTTGCAAATGATATCTGTGATCACCTTTTGATATCGATATCTAACTTTGATATATTTTACTCTGATCGAGCTTTCGCTTTATTTTCCAATTATAAAGCTTTCCAATAGAAACGCGATTTCACCCGAAATCATGTAAAGAATCGTGGATCATGTAAAGAACGGCAAAAAGGAAAATCATATGCCAAGTACGATGCGGAGCATGAATGTAACCTTTAGTTGCCGATCCATAGAGATCGGGCTACACTCTGGATCGATTCGATAATAATACTCGAGATCATTTCGAGCCTACGTGCTGAGTTTTCTCGATCAATAGCCGATAGGCTTGTGTTCGTTATCGCAATTGGAATAACTGGGAGTTTTTATCGATTAGTATAATCAGCACAATAACAGTGCGGCGCACTAAAACGGGATCATAGAGCACGATTCGAGCAACGAGTATATCGCAAAGTCAACAAAGGATCTAGTTCGTAAGTCAATAATTCAATTTCTCTCTCTCTCTCTCTCCTTCTCCTTCTCATCGTTACGCGTCTCCGATAAAAAGATAACGGAATACAAAAAATAGTCTGATAACCGTGGTCTATCTTGAGTAATAATTTCTCTATGAAAGAGTAAACCCGTCATTCAATCCAGATTACTTTATTAGCCGAGCAAACATTTCTCCTAATTACATTTCGAAACCCGCAAAAGAAACGATGTCGCACACGATATTCGCTCGGTATCGACAGCAACAATATATATACATTCTTTTATCTGAAAAATATATAAGTTGAAATTGCACAAGCAAGTCGGGCTCGAAAGTTGAGACGATAATCGCGTGTTACGTGCATAAACAATTCCGAGAGATAGAAATATCGTTGCGCAACTCCCAGTAACACTAGTGTCAATATGTTAATGCCTCTTTTTTCCAGTGTCCGTACAATATTGCGTACCGCTGACGCGACAAAGCACGTGTCGAGTAGGAACACATCACGTGACTTAAAAAGCATACTCGAGCGGAGCGTGACGCATTAGAAAACCTTGCGCGTTGGCGGCAAATAATTGATGAAAAAGTCGATCAGCGCGATTAATTGGCGTTAAACCGTAAAGACCCACAAAATTTTTGAACTGCGGCCTTGGAGATCGCAGAAGACAAAAAAAAAAGAAAAAGAAAATTCGTTGAAATGCGTCTTCGTATGCGGGAACGCGAACATTTTCGAAACCAGAATCTGAACTAGGTTTGCTTTTTGATCGCGAAAATGGTATTTGTTTCAAGAACATCTACTCGACTCAGTTCGAGTTAATTCTTTCGCTACCATTTTGTATTTTAAGGGTACAATTTTTTTACTTTCACTTCATTAAATACATTAATATAATATAGTTTTACCAAAAGAAAATTGAAAATGTTATGTTTGACGCCAAAGAGCCAATAGGTTCGGGACGTCCTACTGATGCCCCACTAATGTTCTACTGGGGTCTTTGGGAGAACATTTGTTTCAATGATAACAAGTAGAGTGACAATTGATGTGTTCTATACGATAAAAAATCTGTTTATTCAATTGAATAAGGTTATTATTAATGAACATATACATCTCATTGAAAGCGAAAAAGTTAATCTTTAAAAGAAACTTTTTTGCACGTTTATTTAAGTTGTACATTTATTTAATAATACTATTAATAAAATAATCTTTAGATAATATAAGTCTTTTAATTTTTAAGAAACTGATTTTTTCCGTATTTATCTCCCATCATAAAACAGTGAGATCTCTTCTATAGAAAAGTCTTCAGAGTTTTGTAGAGTCTTTTTGAGATATAATAATCCTTAGATCTGCCCCATTTTCGAACTAGATCCAAACGAAGCTGGATCAGTAAGAAATTACAAGTGTCCAGACTTGCTTGAGGGACTCTATGCGAGACGCTGAATCGGCGCTATCAATTACAGAAAAGCTGCAGTCTAACTCCCACGCCTGGAACTCGTGCGTGCGATAACAATCAGCGTTGTTTAATAATAAACATCACAAGACATAAATCTGTCTAGATGTTATCGCGGCGCGGAGATAACGTCGACGTAAACTACAGCCGAGCTTTTTAATCTTTATATATCGCGCGCGTCGTGACGATCGATACGGCCGCGGCTGATTATCGAAATTTTATCGTCACTTGGACGATAGGATTTCCCAAATGGACGAGGGAAGGGATTGACTCGAAGTTACACACGGTGATTGTGCCTTCTATCGCGCTCCGTTATGTGGAAGACAATGAGGATCTCGCCGTTCAAGATATCGGCGAAAAAAGCGAACAAGTAGCGCTCGTTAAACTCACACACGGCTCGGCTGGTTGTTATGTATCGTCAGATATTTATTACAGATATCTCATCTAAAACAATTAAGTCGCGGACAACCCGGATCTCCTGAGCTGGCAGTTAAACATCGGTTCGAAGACCGACGTTCAAAGATCCATTATTACGTGTTCTTTCAATATAGTCAGCGATTTCTTTTGTCAGCAACACTTATTTATGTACATAATTTATGTATATATACTGTTAAAAAAATGTTATTTTTGGCGGAAATGAAAGAGTAAGCAAGAGAGAGAGAGAGAGAGAGAGAGAGAGAGAGAGAGAGAGAGAGAGAGAGAGAGAGAGAGAATATCCAATAATATTTTTCCTCTTTTTATGTATTCTGAAGAGTCCCAAAACTCTTCAAAAAAGAGTTTAGGCAAAGTGTTAATAATTTTTGTTAATAATTTTCACCAGGGATGTGATTAACCAAATTTCTAGTGAAATATAAACCAACCCGAAATTCAATCGGAATTTTCTTATTCGTATTTCACTCGAAATTTGATCAATCCAACCAAACACGCTTTCTCCGTGTACTAATAACATATTTTCTTATATATCAATACAAAGTAAAGTTAACAAATACAAATTTTTTTAATAAGAAGATATACGTTACTTTAAAACCTTAAGAAGACCTTGGCATCATCATGAAAGCAATTATTGATTCTATTTTAGTGAAGAAATTTAGATTTAAGTGGATATGTCATTAGTACCCACCACAAATAAACATTTGCTATTTTCTAGATACTCTTCTCTCTCTCTCTCTCTCTCTCTCTCTCTCTCTCTCTCTCTCTCTCTCTCTCTCAGTGCAGTTGCATTAGAGAACGCCACGTAGCACATTGACGATATTGGCGTACGGAATTATTTCTGCCTGTGATTCTGTTTTCGTCAATTTCGCGCGTCTCCTTATTGCGCTCCGATTTTATCGCTCGCGGTCGAATGACGATGGCGTGTGGTGGTTTATTGCCGCTTCAACGAACGGCAAACACATCGCGACAGGTATGCGCAGCGTCGGCGGAGCAAGCGCGCTATCACCGAATTACTCCTCATTGTCGAGGACGACGTCGACGACGACGACGACGTATTCATCGCGACTAATCGCCGATCTTGTGGCGCGCCGGCCGGTGACGCGCGCGGAGAAATCCGACGTTTTCCTAAGCGCGAGATCGCAACGCGAGGAGAACTTGCGGAGCGAGTCTGGAAATTTCCACACCAGCAGCACGTGCGCATACGTGTGGACGAGCTTGTTTGTCTCTCGTACGTATGCGCGCGTGCACGCGTGTGTGTGTATGCGCGAGCAAGACGCACGCACGCACACGCGCGTCCGCCACACTCTTTCTCATAATTATTCGTTGGCAGCCACCACACGCTCGAGTGTGTGTTTATCGTAAGCGTACGGTCGTTGGTAATCGTTCGCACGTACATACGCGTCACACACACGTTACACACACACAGACGTAGATACATACCCTACCCACGCGCGCGCATTTTATCGCTCACGTGTGTGTGCATTCGCGTGATTAATTCTCGCGCCGTGCACAATTTTACGCCGCCAGAAATATATCGTGTATCGCGCGCGCTGCGACTCGCATTCTCCGTATGGGTGTTATTTGCTTTCGTTCGTCGTCGTAACATCAAGAAGACAGGCGCGCGCGCGCGCGCCACACCGACTCCGCGAACGCTTCTTCGCGCACACCAGCAGCTTCCGAGGAACAATCGCGCATTGTTTCGTCGGAATACCAGACAATTCCGTGTATATTAGTCAATCTGTACTATGGC